AATGGTACATCACAAACCAATGGGTGATGTCACAATATGTTTACATTTAACCATAATTCATTGCTATATCTGGGCCCAAGTGTAAGTGGGCTGTGTGGGCCCTCACTGAGCCAGATTCAACTTTGCTATGTGGGAATTTTCTGGTGAACAAAATGGCACGTTCAATGTTGAAGGATTACATGTCTCAGAACTTTTTGGAAAATGCCAAAAATGCATCATCATCCAGCTTAACAAAAGCTGTTTTCTCAGTCCCAAAGAAGTCAACATTTTGGAGTTAGAGGTTTTCATCTGACATGATTGATGTCATTAAAATAGACCATGCAAGGCAGGTGTGTCATAAATTTGTTTCACTGGTATTCATAATCTAGTGCATCATGGGAGTGTTTTTAAACAGTGGATTTGAACACATTTCCACCTAACTCTGCCGCAGCTGACAGAACAAACTGTTTAAACAACGCAGCCGAGAGGCTAACAGGCAACTTGAGGGCACTTTTGAATTGAAGACATTTTGAATGTTTATCCTGCCCTTTGAGGGAGGCGGGAAGGTGGACCGACGAGAGACGGAGATCAAAACTAAACATCGGAACTGGCTGATCAACCCAGCTGGTGGCATTTTGCAGTAGACATGATGTAATGAGAAAAACTGAAACACGGGGACGAATCTGAGTGTTATTAACTTGTATAGCCCCTCTTAAGTGCTTGTGCAGGACTACTGTGTTTTCTGAATGACATCCCATATTTGTTTTGTTGCCTTTCATTCATATTCCTTTTTAAATACTATTAACCTCTTTCATACCTCCGCTTTTCTCCACCCTGTTGTTCCTGCTGCTCTTCTAGAGGCTCCAGGTGGAGAGTAACAGAGCTGATGTACTGAGTCACAGCCACAGGAGGAGGCTGACCTAATAACATTTCCATGTTTTTGTGTCTGAGAAGGCACACACTTCTAAAAGTAGAGGATATATATTGAAGAGAGAGCAAAGGTTGAAAGCAAAGAAGAAGAAGGGACTGATGTTGGATTAACTTTTCATTGCAGTGTGGTTGGCTGGGCACACCTGCAGAGCTTCATAATTGGATGTGAGCTGTAGACAGAGTGACAGCACCTGCTGTTTTGGTCTATTAATAACATTCTGACTCACTGGAGGCTCGGGATGTGTGTATATGCTGGTGTGCTCATGTCTGTCATGATACCATGGTGCCCTAATTCCTGGCCTGATGATGCAGACTGGTTCTTCTACATACGCAGTCACTGCAAACTACTTGCCATGTTTCCTCTTGAATGCACTGAAGCAGAAGGCAGCTTCAGGAGCTATTTGGAGGATCTCCACTGCCAGAGAGGCACGCTCAAGTGCACCAAAACTGCAGTTTTCATAGGACCATGCATGCATCTACTGTCAGAGATCTGCTTACCTGCAGTGGTGGATCGCTCTGCATTAATAATGCATCAGCTCCAGTAAAACAAACCACAGTATTAGCTTCCTGTGTTCCGGTTTACATGCCTGCTGACATGAGGAATACAAGTGGGTCGAAGAGCGAAGAGACGATGGGACTTAGTGTGCTGTACCTGAGGAGATACAGCGAAGATGGAGGTCACAGGGTTTGAAGGGGTGGAGGGGTCAGGTGGCAGTAATTAGATCTTTAAGTTGAACCTCATTCTCAGAATGATTCATTAGGTCAATACTGTATTAACAAGGAAGTAGGAATGCACCAATTGGGAAATTCAGTGCAGATACGATGTTTAAAATAACAATTTGGACAATAGCCGATGTATTTTTGTTGTTAGTTATTTGCCCTTTTGTGCCAGGGAAACAAAGAAATCTACAAAGATAAGTATCTCTGCTTTGTTGCACCTCAGTCAATTTCTATGCTCATCCAGGATGTGAGACACAGTGCTGAAGAGCCGCTCTCTGTCCATGCTGTTACAAATTAGTGTTTGCATGCAATTTCTGCCAGTGCTGGAAAACGGATGTGATTATATCCAAGTTGGAAATTACCAACTCAACATTTAGCCAGCGCAAAATGGATGCAACACATTAGATAAACATTGTAACTGATATCGGTGAATGCCATCGTATTTGCAGATTAGGGATGGGAATCAAGAAGTCATTCAGTTTAGAACAAAATTGTCAAATCCATTAGAATCGTATGCCGCAGAGTTTATCAATTCCTTTTATCCAAAGTGTGGCTTCATTTCACAAAGAAACTCAAGCTACTAAAATTCTACTCTGTTTCTACGCTGTTCAGAAGCTGAAAACCTGTGTAGGCCTACTTTTTTCAAATCAGAAAATTGATCAGGAATCAATAAGGGAATCAACAAAGAATTGGACAGATAAGCAGAACCGACAGCGGTATTGATATTAATAAGATCTTATCAATTCCCGAGCCTATTGCCGATGTCAGTCAACACGGCAAATATCAACTGATACCGATGTCCGGTTGATAAATCAGTGCATCCCTACAAAGAAGATTAATTATGACACTTTTGCTTAAAATGAAAGCAACATGTAATGAGTGAGAAAAATGGCAGCTTGCTGTTTTAGTTGGGCAGTTTATTGTAGAACGCCTGAGCCACTACATTGTAGCTGGATGAGCCAAAACGAGCATACCTGTGTTTTTGCATGATTTAACCTACTTACTCAATCATTTACTGTGTACTTGCAACAGCAAAGCATACAGTTTTATTAGAAATGTATGGATCGAATGTGCTTTTATACCTTCCAGGCAGCTATTGGTTAAGTTAACACCACTAAAGACAGCTTGCAGAGACTCTCTTAAAGTAAATCCATTTCAGTGAACATCGTGCCCAGGTTTATTTTTGTAACAATATCACATTGTGGTGATGCAAATGAAGCTACCAAACTATCTTTCTGGCATTTCTTGTGCATCGTTTGTTGTCTGGGTCTGAATTTCTGACAATATGACAAACAGACTGTCTGAGCTCCTCAGCGGCTCATGATTTCCCCACGGCAGCAGATTTTTCAAATGATTCCGTGCTTTCCGTTGGCATTAGCGCACAGTGATAATGTAACTTTCATAAGCATGTTGTTCACTGAGATGGATCACAGTCCTCAAGCAAGTTTGAAGTTCCTAAAGGTTTTGGAAAACAGTCAGCAGTAAGGCGAAGCATACATGATTTGTAGTAAATAAACTTGCAGAAACACTGGTATGATCCTTTAAATGTTCAGAAATATGGTTTTAGGTACAAAGCATTTTCTTCTCCTCTCCATGCCTCTAACACACTCTTCATATGTCACTGCACCTACTTTACCTGATATGTTTACCTCTGCAGGAGACAGTGTTTTACTATGCTGTTCAGTATATTGTATCTCATTTGTAACCCAGTGCTGCACCCCAACCTCTGAGTGTGCTCTTCTTGACCTCCCTTTGTACCTTTGTGATACCATTTTAAGTCTGAAGGATAGGAGTGGAGACAGAGCCATGCTAAAGAGGGAAGGGGGCAAGGGTGTTGCATTGGGGTGCGTTGTACCTCTGTTACCCATGTGTCTTAACCTAGAGCTAGCTCTCCCTGTGCTCTTCAGTGTGTGTGATACTACCTATTTTTGCAGAGCAGTGGTGAAGTAGTGCTTAACAATCGTTTGAATAATTGGAGAGTTGTTTATACCTGTCGTAGTGATGTGGACAAAGTTGTGTAAAAAAATTGGAAATGTGTAAAGGTATTTTAAGTTCTATATTACCTGTGGCATCTGCAGTGTCCGTGTTGGCCTGTGTCTTCATCGCTGACCTTTAATCCAGTGTTTGTTCCTTCAACTGTTCTTACACTCACTGATGTTTTTGTAATATATATATAAAAAAATATTTATTGAAGTGTGTTTTAAAAACCATAAATAAATATAATTAATTAAATGGACCTTGCTTTTATTTTGAAAAGCTACTGTGTTTTCTATCTGACGAGTAATCAAATATAACAAGAGTATGTATCCCAGACTAAATAAAGTTATCTTTTCCTGACCAAATCCTCTTGCTGCCTCTTCTTTTTTTCCACAGATTAGCAATATGGCGCCCCATATAGTGAATTTTATGTATGTGGATTGCTCACTGATATGACTCTACAAAGGTATTCAGAAGGCTGCTTTCTTAAACACATAACTTTATTAAAGAATTGAGTTAAATAAATGAACATATACACTGTGAACCAATTCTAGTTGACATTGCTGAGAGCTGCTTCTTTTCTCTTACTCTGTGCTGCTTGCCACAGTATAGCAACTCACACTGCACTCTGCTGGATAAACTTTGCAGTGACACCATTACGATATGTCTGTGATAGGTTGATATCAGCCGATAATATCGGTCGAGCTCTGAATACCTCTAAAAGTTAAATTCCTGTCACATAGGGGACCCTGGGACAAAATAAAACAGGGCTCCATGGTCTTATTTGTGTCAGTTTAGGGGTCCCTGATGTGAAAAAAGTTGACCTAAGGCAGTAATTCCCAACCGTTTTCCATGAGGGACCCATTTTCTATCATTTATTATACTGACAATCCCTGCTTGGGCGACATATTATCAAGGATATTTCATATCATATCAAAACTGTACATTAGCGTACATTCTTGCCCCTGGTGCTTG